CTGGTGGAACTCTCTGCCAAATGACATCCGTGCCCTGCGGGACCTAGTCCAGTTCCACAGGGCCTGTAAAGTAGAGATGTTCCGCTAGGCCAGTTTGGCGTAGTGGTTAAGTGCTCAGACTCTAATCTGGGAGAACTGAGTTTGATCCCCCACTCCTCCACTCGCAGCTGCTGGATGACCTTGGGCATGCCATAGTTCTGATAAGAGCTGTTCTTGAAAAAGAACAGTTTCTATCAAGAGCTCTCTCAGCCCCACCCACCTCCCAGGGTGTCTGTTGTGGGGAGGGGAAGGGAAAGGGCTTTATAAGCCACTCTGAGACTCCAAGCGAAGGGAGGAGGTATTAATCCAGTCTCTTCTCTTCTTCTTGTCTTCTTCTTCTTCTTGGCCTATGGTTAAGGACAGAAATGGTCTTCATTTTTCTGGCCTTCCTTTTCTTCTCTCTCCCTTGAGGTGAGGATAAATCTGGTTTTTGGATGCCATCAGGAATGGTTATTGTACCTGCTTCATTGTTTTACAATTGTTTTAAATGTGCTTATGCCTGTATTTTTTTGAATGCTGTACACCATCCCAGGAAACCAAGGATGTGGTAAGGCGCTTTAGAAATAGGGCTGCTGGCCACCAGGTGGGGCCCGGGGAACTCCCGCTTTTACAATAGATCTCCAGCTCACAGAGACCAGTCCCCCAGGAGAAAATGGCTGCTTTGAAGGGTGGACTCTATGGCATTGCACCATGCTAAGGCCCCTCCCCTTCCCCAAACCCCGCCCTCTCCTGGCTCCACCCCCAAAGTCTCCAGGTATTTTCCAACCCGGACCTGGCACCCCTGTTTAGGAATCAAATTTAAAAACAAATAACCTGCATTCTTTTTCAACTTTTCCAAGATTGCCGTTAGACTTTCTCTTGGAGTTCACGTGTCTGTCTGGTTTGGGTGGAGAGTTTGTGCCTACTTGGTTTCTTACTTGGAAAATCCTACTTCAAGTGCTTCGGGTTGGTGGGAGGTTGATTAGGACCTATGACGCTGCTTTTGACTGAGCCAGACCATCGGCTCTCTCGGGGTTAGTCTCGTCTATCCTGACTGGCAGCAGCTCTTTAGGGTCTTGGGCAGAGGAGCTTCACATCATCTGCTTCCTGTCCCTGGAGACGCCGAGGACCGTCTGCACACAGAACAAATGTGCTGCCACAGAGCCACAGCCCCCACCCACCGTCCCATCCCACCACCGAAAGATCTGTGCAGCTGATTCTTAGCCAGGTTCATGACAGAAAAGAATCAGCCCAGCCCAGCCCAGCTAGACTTGCAGTGGGCTGTGCTGGGAGTTGTCATCCTAACAACTGGATCCCCATCTCACTTGGCATGAAGAGCCCCTTGGCTCTGGCCGATACAGATCTGGGCAACCTGCAGCTCAAATGGCGGGGAATGAAAGGAATCAGGAACGGGGTTGCAGGTTGAAATATTGAAACATACTACAAGAGATTTATGTGAAAATTTAGATTATGTGTAATAATCACATACACATATCTCCTTATTCTCTCCAGTGCAACAAGCAAGGGTGGATTATGCTTGTTTTTTGTCATCATGCTTGCTGAGGGTCAAAGAGGAGAGCGCAAAGGTTGGCTTGAAACTCAACATCAAAAAAACGAAGATCACGGCATCCGGCCCCATCACTCCCTGGCAAACAGAAGGAGAAGTGGTGGAAGCAGTGACAGACTTCACGTTCCTGGGATCCAAGATCACCACAGACAGTGACAGCAGCCATGACATTAAAAGACGCCTGCTCCTTGGGAGGAAAGCGATGGCGAACCTAAACAGCATGATAAAAAGTAGAGACATCACCCTGCCAACAAAAGTCCGTATGGTCAAAGCAATGGTATTCCCAGTAGTCATGATGTATGGCTGCGAGAGTTGGACTATAAGGAAGGCCGAGCACCGAAGAATAGATTCTTTTGAACTATGGTGCTGGAGAAGACTCTTGAGAGTCCCTCGGACTGCAAGAAGATCAAATCAGTCAATCCTAAAAGAAATCAACCCGGACTGTTCCCTAGAAGGCCTGATAATGAAACTGAAGCTCAAATACTTTGGCCACCCAATGAGAAGGGAGCACTCACTGGAGAAGAAGACCCTGACGCTGGGAAAGAGTGAAGGTCAAAGAAGAAGGGGACGGCAAAGGGTGAGATGGTCAGACAGTGTTATCGAGGCAACGAACATGAAATTAAGCGAACTCCGGAGGATGGCGGGAGACAGGAGGGCCTGGTGTGATGGGGTCCGTGGGGTTGCGAAGAGTCGGACTCACTGCCTGCCTCTGCGTAGCCACCCTGGACTACCTCGGTTGACTGTCATCCAAGGACTGCCCCGGCTTGGCTTCCAAGATCTGACAAGACTGGGCCAGGCTAGCCTGGGCCATCCGGGTCGATGTCTAATCATCGTGTGACGTCATGGCACCCCCCACAGGGTATTAAAGGTAAGAGATGTTCAGCAGCGCTTTGCCATTGCCTGCCTCTGCGTAGCCACCCTGGGCTTCCTTGGTGGTTTCCCACCCAAGTATTAACCAGGGACGAGACCCTGCTTAGCTTCCGGGATCTGATGGGATCAGGCTAGCCTGGGCTATTCAGGTCAGGAGAGTTCATACGAAGAAGAAGGAGGAGGAGGAGGAGGAGGAGTTGAAGATGGAGGAGGAGGAGGAGGAGGAGGAGGAGATTGGATTTATACCCCGCCCTTCACTATCCAAAGGTGTCTCAGAGCGGCTTACAATATCCTTTCCCTTCTCCTCCCCACAACAGACACCCCTGTGAGGTAGGCGGGGCTGAGAGAGCTCTTTGACAGAAACGGCTCTTTTTCAAGAACAGCTCTTATCAGAACTACAGCTTGCCCAAGGTCATCCTGCAGGTGCAAGTGGAGAAGTGAGGAATCAAACCCGGTTCTCCCTGATTAGAGTCCACGCACTTAACCACGACACCAAACTGGCTCTACAGCAGTTTGGCACTACACCAAACTGAGCCAGGAGGTCACAGGAAGGAGGGGAATGTCTTCATTCCTATTCTGTTTTGGTCCATTACAAATGGCAGGATGCTTGATTGTTTGAGGGCTGGATACTTTGGAGGCTCCGGCTGCCTTGCAACCAGGTATGGCTCCGGCTCAAGCCTCAGCGCTGGGATTCCCATTCCGACAGCCCCTGACGTCGAAACCTGCATTGTGTTTTCCTGTCTGCATATTTTTATTTATCTTTTTGTTTTCTTAGTCACCCTATCCCTGCTTGTGCGGGGCTCTGGGCAATATACAACAACAAAGCATAGAGCCCTAAAGCAAATACTCTGATCTGCCAGACCCCGAGGATGGGAGTACATTCATGAATGCCAGCTCGCACGATGGGATACAAATCTCTTGTTATTTATTTATCGGAGGGAGGGGAATGACCAATAAGTCAGTTTGGTGTAGTGGTTAAGTGCGTGGACTCTAATCTGGGAGAACCGGGTTTCATTCCCCACTCCTCCTCTTGCACCTGCTGATGTGACCTTGGGTCAGTCACAAGTTCTCTAGCAGCTGTTCTCTCAAAGGCAGTTTCTGTCAGAGCTCTCTCAGTCCCACCTACCTCACAGGGTGTCTGTTGTGGGGAGGGGAAGGGAAAGGAGATTGTCAGCCGCTCTGAGACTCCTTTGGGTAATGAAGGGCGGGGTATAAATCCAATCTCTTCTTTCTTCTTCTTCTTCTTCTTCTTCTTCTTCTTCTTCTTCTTCTTCTTCTTCTTCTTCTTCTTCTTCTTCTTCTTCTTCTTCGATTCAAAATAATTCACAAATTACTTCGCAATGGAAGAAGAAGAAGAGGAGGAGGAGGAGATTGGATTTATACCCCACCTTTCGTTACCAGAAGGAGTCTCAGAGCGGCTGACAATCTCCTTTCCCTTTTCCTCCCCACAACAGACACCCTGTGAGGTAGGCGGGGCCGAGAGAGCTCTCTTGAGGACTGGTCTTGAGGAAACAGCTCTGGGAGAACTTGTGACTGACCCAAGGTCACATCAGCAGCTGCACGTGGAGGAGTGGGGAATCAAACCTGGTTCTCTCAGATTAGAGTCCGCTCAGTTAACCACTACACCAAACTGGCAGATTGCTCATATAAGGTAACTTTAATATAAGAGCTTGAACATCGCAGGATGGTTAAAATCTGGCCAGGAATGGTATTGCAGAAAAAGGAGTCTCTTTCGCTCATTTCTGGCAGCCAAGAAACACTTTTCAAAAGTATTCTTTTCTGAATTAAAATGGAAGGCCCACTCCACGTTTATGCCTGCAGAGGCCTATTTTAAGAATGTGATGAATGACCAAGCAGATTTCCACATAGGTCACTGTTCTAGGCGTGCCCTTGAGAGGGAAAAGCAGCAACTCATTCAGATATGCAACAGGCAGGCTCTTGCGAATGCAGGGGGCTCTGCAGCATCTCTGCATGAAGAGGCCCTTAACGATCCAACCCAACTCACTGAAGAGACACAGCACAGAGTGATCTGAGGAAGGAAAGGCCGAAGGTTGCAAACTCTGGGTTGGAGTATTCCTGGAGATTCAGAGGTGGAGTCTGAAGAGGGCGGAGCTTGAGGAGGGGAGAGACCAGCAGGGTATAATACCATAGTGCTCACCCTCTAAAGCAGCCATTTTCTCCAGGGGAGTCAGAGATGCATTGACAGCATATTCTATGGAGGAGTACTTTCAGCAGCATTTGATTTTTTAATTTATTTCTCACAGTCTTCTTGCAACACTCTGGGGTGCTCTACCCAGTTCGAAAATTAAGGGCTGCAGTGGCTCAGTGGTTAAGACACTGAGCTGCAGACCGGAAGGTCAGTAGTTCAGCAGTTTGAGACCCGAGTGCCGCATGACAGAGTGAGCTCCCGTCTCTGGTCCCAGCTCCTGCCAACCTAGCAGTTCGGAAGCAAGAAATTGCAAGTGGATAAATAGGTACCGCTTTGGTGGGAAGGGATCAGCGTTCCGTGCACCTCGGCATTTAGTCATGCCGGCCACATGACCACGGAAACGTCTTCGGACAGCGCTGGCTCTTCGGCTTGGAACCTATGAGCACCGCCCCCTAGAGTCAGATTCGACTGGCTTTCGGGCAAGGGAAACCTTTACCTTTATAGTATGCACTCTTCTTTCTAGAAGCCTCTGATGGAAAAAAGAATTATTATTTTTTGCATAGGAGGGGTTAGCAATCCAAAGGCCATTTCTGAATCTATGTTCACAAGTAATTTTTTTTTATTTTTCTCTCTTTAAGTAATTTTTTTATGGTGGAATGTACCTCCACCCCCTTTACTTTCACGGGACTGGGTATAATTATCCCGTAAATAACGGGAACATATGGAAAACTCTAATCCATGCTGAACAGCAGAGTGCTGTAAAAATGAAGTTGTCTGTGAACATTCTGACTTTATTAACTATGAGCTTCCCTTTTGCCTATCACGGCTTCAGCGCTGCAGAGTTACTGTGAAATGATAATGAAATCATACTGTGAAGGGGGTATCAAACGTACCCAGGAAAAGAGTTCTCGGCTTTACAAAGGATTTGCCATTAATTAGCTCTTGCATACACACAGTCAACAGAAAAGAAAAACCCAGTGTTTATCAAAGGATGAGACAAGGGGGGAAATGCGCTTTTGTTCAACTGGAAGAAAAGGATGAAGAGAGTTAATATCCACCCCACCTTTTTCTGCAACCATCTCTCAGTGGGGAAGACCCGGCTAATTAGCTTCTGTTAGTTAAAAGGGAGAATGAGGGTGGGGGGGAATAAGAAGGGCCTTCATTTAGGGTGTAAATCAATCAAAGCATCAGATGACACCAGGAAATTTTAAAACATCGTTCCCCCCCCACACACACACCATCACATCTGCCATGTTATGATTGCTCACCTAGCAGGAAAACAGAAAATGGTTCCCTTCCATGTACAGTATGTTCTTGTTCTTAATAGGGTCACCCCTCCCGGTAGAGATGGGGGTCCCCCACTGCCAGCCCCCAGTTTCTCACCACCAATCAGCTGGCCACTGGGGGGGGGAACTGACCCCCAAAAAGGAGGAGATCCATCCAACATGCAGCAATGGGTCTATGTCACTGCACGCATGCCCTGGAAGTGACGTCATCACATTCAGGTCGTCATGGTGATGCTCTGGTATTGGGGCAAAAACTCTATGGCAGAAGCCAAATTTACCATAGAGTCTTTGCCCAAATACCAGAGTGTCACCTTGATGTCCCAGATGTGAATACATCACTTCCGGGTCACGTGGACAGTGGTGTGGACATGTTGCTGTATGTCAGATGGGCCTCCCTGCTGCTCCTGGTAAGTCCCCCTGATCCCCTGGCAACCCTAGCTCTTAAGTATTATTGTTATATCATCACTAATCTTGCTCATGCCAGAAATATTTTCCCCGAACACAGTCAGAGGCTCCTAAGCAGTCCGGCTGGGCTTTAAGCTCAGTGCAGAATGCTGCCGGCTCATTTTAGCACTCGGCAAAAGCACAGAGAAGAAAACCAATGGGAGCGTTGCCAAGGTCTCCTCTGAGTACCAGACAGATGTCACTAACTTATGACCTGCAACAGGGATGGCAGAGCATGTGCAGAAGGACCCTGGCTCGCTCCCCAGTATCAGCTGCTACAGGGGTCTCTGATTGCTGGGCCGGGAAAGACATCTGTGAACGCAGAATGTTCCCTTAAAAAAAAACAAAAGTTTAATTTCCATTGTGAGATCTTTCACCCATTTCCACTGATTCTGTTCCTAGCACATTGGTTTCCCCTGATGGCATTCCAAACAAGTGCTGTGCCATTTACATATTCTCTGACATTTATACACAACAAATGCAGAGCCGGGCGCCCATTTTCAGCAGTAACATTTCTTCTGGTGTTGCTTTTTTATGGCCAGGAAAAAAGAGAGAGAGAGACCAGGGGGTAAACCGGCATTTCCAAATGGGGAACATTCGGCTCATGAAATTGGATAACATCCCTGTGGCCAACCAGAGGAGAATGCTTTGCACTCAGCCACCTAATGGTCGGGCACCGTACAAAACAGCGTTATAGATGCCTGTGCCAACTTCGGAGGCCTTTGAATTCCATGAGGCATAGACTGACTTCTAAAGATTACGTGTGCCTGCATTTGGGTGAGGGCGTCGCAGAAACGTCGCCAATGTGATGATGTTATATGGAAGTGACGTCATTGTGCCAGGAATGTCAAACCGCAATACAATATGTCAATGACACCCAGCTCTATCTGATGCTGGGCGGCCAGTCGAACTCTGACCCAGATGACATAAGAACATAAGAGACGCCAATGTTGGATCAGGCCAAAGGCCCATCCAGTCCAACACTCTGTGTCACACAGTGGCCAGAAATTCCAGTGCCATCAGGAGGTCCACCAGTGGGGCCAGGACACTAGAAGCCCTCCCACTGTTGACCCCCCCAAGCACCAAGATGACAGAGCATCACTTGCCCTGGAGTCCCTATCTATACCTTGTGGCTAATAGCCACTGATGGACCTCTGCTCCATATGCTTATCTAATTCCCTTTTGAAGCATTGCAAGCCGTGGCTGGTTGGCTCAAACTGAGCCAGCTGAAACTAAACCCGGCAAAGACGGAGGTCCTGGGCCTAGGTTGGGTCAGTTCAGGGTTGGGACTCCCTCTCCCGACCTTCAATGGGGCGCCTTTGGTGCCAGCGTCGGGGGTTAGGAGTTTGGGAGTGCTCCTGGAGTCCTCTTTAATGATGGAGGCCCAGGTAGCAGCCACTGCCAAGTTGGCCTTTTATTATCTTCGGCTGGCACAGCAGTTGGTTCCCTTCCTTGACCGTCATGACCTGGCTACAGTGATCCATGTGACGGTCACCTCGAGGCTGGACTACTGTAACACTCTCTACTTGGGGCTGCCTTTGTCGCAAATCCAGAAGCTGCAGCTAGTGCAGAATGCAGCAGCCAGGCTGTTGATGGGTCTCCCTAGGCGGGACCACATTCGGCCTGTGCTGAAGGCACTGCACGGGCTGCCAAAAGCGTACAGGATCCGCTTCAAAGTGCTGGTTCTTACCTTTAAAGCCCTTTATGGTCAGGGTCCGGCATACCTAAGGGACCGCCTTTCCCCATATGTTCCCCCAAGAGCACTATGGTCGGGGGACCAACATCTTTTGACTACCCCAGGCCTCAGGGATGTCAAATTCACCGACACTAGGGCCAGGGCCTTTTCAGTGGCGGCTCCTACCTGGTGGAATGAGCTCCTGGAGGAGATCCAGGCCCTGTGGGATCTTGGACAGTTCCGCAGGGCCTGTAAGACGGAGCTCTTCCACCAGGCTTTCGAGTAGGAGCCGCCGCCGCTGCTGCTACTGTTCCACCAATGCACCACCGCTGAAAATTGGCGGAGATACCATCAGGGTGCAAGCGGGCCCTGGGAAGAAGACTGGTTATATGCCGCTTTGGAACTTACGTCGTTGTTCCGGATCCACCCTACCAGAACCCATCTTGGAACTGGGAACATCAGAGCACCAGCACTTTGTTGCATTATTGTTATGTTTTTACCTTGGTTTTAATTGTTTTAATTATGGCTTTTGCCTCAATTGTTAGCTGCCCTGAGCCTTAGGGGAGGGCGGGATATAAATCGAATTATAAATAAATAAATAAATAAAATACTCTAGCATTTGGAGCAAAACTCCATGGTGATGATAGAGTTTTGTTCCAAATGCTAGAGCATCACAGTGCAACATCCCCGGCGTGATGAGGTCACTTCCCATGTGATGTCACTGCATCAGCGACATCGCCCCACCCACCCCAGTCCCAGAAAGCTCCCTCCCACCCCCTGCCAGCAGGGTAAGTCAACTTGGCAACCCTACTCCTATAGCAGCCATTTTGTAGTTATACCCATCACCCAGTGTCAGAATTCCAATGGTGCCTACAGGCCAAGAAAAGTTGGGAACCCCTGGTCTAGTTTGACTCTATATCCAGCACTGTTTTTTACATTAACTACATTGGGAAAAGGGGGGGGACCGACTTTCAATTTGACTTCCAGTATTTTAGAAAGGATGCCTTGAACCGGCACGTCAACTACTAAGTGACAAACATAATCTATAACCCAACAGACAGCTGCGTGCAAAACCTCTATTGATTTTAACGGCAATTGATGTTCACAATTGTGGTTGAGACTTGGACAGTTTTACGTAAAAAACCAAAACAAAACATTGAATTAAGATTTTTTTTCTCCCCCTTTTTTGATTTCCCCTTTATTTCATCTCTTCCATGCTTCTCCCTGTGGTTGGAAAATCAAAAAGGAATGGTCTGTTCAAAGCCCACTGGAGGTTAAGGGAAACTGGCAGACAGCGCGGCAGCTCTAGCTCTTTGAAAGCCATTCCAGCCTGTACCAGTCGCTGTTACCCGGGCGATTCTGCCTTAGTTTCCCCGTTATGATTTTCAGAGAATGAGAGGGACGACAGCCCTTCCCCCCAAAAAAAATGAAATTTCAAACAGAAAGAACCAGAATAAGCACAGCACAGCATTTCGGGACAGCGAGGTGGGTAGACCACAACAGCGAGAAGGCCGTAACCCATCTGCCCACTTGCAAAAACACTGCCAGCTAATCCTTGGCACGGAAACTGTGCTCTCGCCTGTTCTCCTTGGCACGCGCCTCCGGTGCTGGTTTTAGAGCTGATGATCCCGTCCTGTGCCAACTGCCTCGTGCTGGGGAATTGTCAGCTGGCAAGAACGGAGGCACATCTGGCTCTTCAGTGGTGCAAGAGAGTGAGGCAATTAGGAGATTATTCATGTTCACGCGGCACACCGAATCTATAGGTTAGTCTACATCAGTGTATCACCACAAATGCGTATAGCCCCAAAGGAAGTTTTGAGTAGGCAAATACACGTTTGGTGGATTTTGACAACATGGTTGCATCCCAAAAGGGAGCGACTGTAAGTCGCAATTGAGACAGCAGCTCTGGGGTGCGCCCGTTGTACTGCAGTTGGATTCTATTCCTGTTTACTCAGAAGCTGTATACAATGGAACCTACTCTCTGAACATAAGAACATCAGAAGAGCCCTGCTGGATCAGCCCAGTGGTCCACCTAGTCCAGCACCCTTTCTCACACAGTGGCCAGCAAGTTCCTCTGTAGGTCCAATGAACAGGGCATAGATGACGAGGCCTTCCCCTGATAAGAACATCAGAAGAGCCCTGCTGGATCAGACCAGTGAGGGTCCATCTAGTCCAGCATCCTGTCTCACACAGTGGCCAACCAGTTCCCCTGGAGGGCCAACAACAGAGCAGAGAGGCCGAGGCCTTCCCCTGATAAGAACATCAGAAGAGCCCTGCTGGATCAGCCCAGTGGTCCACCTAGTCCAGCATCCCGTCTGACACAGTGGCCAACCAGTTCCTCTGGATGGCCAACAAAAGGGCAGAGAGGCTGAGGAGACCTTCCCCTGATGTGGCCTCCTGGGTCTGGCATTCAAAGGATCAGTGCCTCTGAATTTAGAGGTTCCCCTCAGTCACAATGACTAGTAGTCACTGATAGATCTCTCCTCCATGAATTTATCTATAAGAACATCAGAAGAGCCCAGCTGGATCAGACCAGTGGTCCTTCTAGTTCAGCATCCTGTCTCACACAGTGACCCAACAGTTCCTTTGGATGGCCAACAACAGGGCAGAGAGCCCGAGGCCTTCATAAGAACATAAGAAGCGCCCTGTTAGATCACACCAGTGGACCATCTAGCCCAGCATCCTGTCTCACACAGCAACCAGCCAGTTCCCCCAGACAGCCAGCAACAGGGCATAGAGGCCAAGGCCTTCCCCTGATGTTGCCTCCCAGCTCTGAGATTCAGAGGATTAGTGCCTTTTAACAGAATCATAGAATCACAGAGTTGGGCCATACAGACCATCTAGTCCAACCCCCTGCCCAATGCAGGACCAGCCTAAAGCATCTCTGACAAATATTTATCCAGCCTCTTCTTGAAAGATTCCAGTGAAGGGGAGCTAATCACCACCCTAGGCATCTGATTCCACCTCTGAACCACTACCGTGAAAAAGTGTTTCCTAATATCCAGCCCATATCCTTCTGCATGTAATTTAAACCCATTCCTTTGGGTCCTCTCCTCTGCTGCCAACTGGAACAGCTCCTCGCCCTCCTCCAAATGACAGCCTTTCAAATATTTAAAGAGAGCAATCATGTCCTCTCTCAGTCTCCTCTTCTCCAGAGGTTCCCCACAGACACCATGGCTAGTAGCCACTGATAGACTTATCCTCCATGAATCTGAACATAAGAACATAAGAGAAGCCAATATTGGATCAGGCCAATGGCCCACCTAGTCCAACACTCTGTCACGCAGTGGCCAAAAATACCAGGTGCCATCAGGAGGTCCAGCAGTGGGGCCAGGACACACCCCCCCCCCTGTTGCCCCCCCCCCCAAGCACCAAGAAGACAGAGCATCCCTTCCCCCAGACCGAGAGTTCCTACCTATACCTTGTGGATAATAGTCACTGATGGACCTCTGCTCCATATGTTGATCTGATTCATAAGAACATCAGAGAAGCTAATGTTGGATCAGGCTAGTGGCCCATCCAGTCCAACACTCTGTGTCACACAGTGACCAAAAATACCAGGTGCCATCAGGAGGTCCAACAGTGGGGCCAGGACACTAGGAGCCCCCCCCCTGTTGCCCCCCCCCCCCAAGCACCAAGAATACAGAGCATCACTTGCCCGAGACCGAGAGTCCCTATCTATACCTTGTGGCCAATAGCCACTGATGGACCTCTGCTCCATATGCTTCTCTAATTCCCTCTTGAAGCCATCCATGCTTTTGTATAATCTGTATAATCTCCTTTGAAAACTGCCTATGCCTCTGGCCATCACTATTCTGATATGCATGCACAGGATTGGATCCCTCGGCCATTACTGTCAACCGCATCACAGCACTGGAAACAGCCATGTCCCTGCTGCTGCCTCTTCCTCGATTCTGCTCTGCGTTGTTCCCTTGATCCCTCCGCCCCCCCGGGCTGGGTAATATCTGGGGACCAGTGTTCCCTCTAAGCTGAGTTGGTGTGAGCTAGCTCACAGTTTTTTAGCCTCCGGCTCACACATTTTTGCCTCAGCTCAGGAAGGAGGGCTCCAGAGCAAACTGATTTATGCAGTAGCCAAATCGCTCACTTGCAACTTTAATGCCAGGAGCACACAATGCAGAATTTTTGTTCACAAGACTCCACAGCTTAGAGGGAGCATTGCTGGTGACACAGTGAGTTGCCCCTTGTCATGATCTGGGCTGTGCCACCATAGGCCTACTAGTAGGGTTGCCAAGTCGTACCTTAAGCCGCAGCGGGGGAGTCCCGGCTTGCCTGGAACTGACGCGGCCGCGTCAAGTGTGCCAGGGGCGGGGCCGCGTTCATCCAAGGGGAAAACATAGAGTTGTCCCTCGGATGACCGTGGCCCCGCCCCCGGCGCGCCCAGAGTGGCTGCGTAACTTCCAGGTGACGTGCTGACGCCGGGCACGTCCCGTGCTTTGCGGGTGGGGTTCCCCCCGGGGCCCAATCCGCCAGCGGCGGGAAACGGGCCTCTGGGCCAGGGGTTTCCCCACACCCTGGGGGGACTTGGCAAGCCTACCTACTAGGCCCAGGGAGCCTGGGTAGCAGTAGGTGAGGCTGGACCTACAACTCCCAGAAGCCCGTGAAAGGTTTTGGAGGCAAAATTGACCAATAGGGAAGAAGAGGGCTGGGAAACTGAAGGGCTGGTGCCAGATCAGAAGCTGTTCTTTCTTCCAGAGGGCAGAGCCAGAAGGAAGGCTGCTGCAGGGAAGAAACCCTCATCCTGAGGGAAGGGTGAGCAGTCTAAGGCCACTGCAGATAGTGAGCTAGAGACGGTATATATTTAGACGTGTTAGGGCATTTGATTTCTTTTCTTTTCACCCTCTTACTGTTTTTATTCTGTACCTTGTTGTTTGACCTCCTATAAAATAAACCTTTTCCTTGTTTCACTCTGCCTGGTCGTCCTCATGCCTGTTATTCGGCCTAAAGGGAGGTCTGAAGGTCTTGGGAGGGTACTCTGGGCCTTCTCAAGGGAGCCTGGACCCAGAGTGGTGGCAGCATCAGGTGACACCCCACCTGAGCCGTGACACCACTCCTGGGACTGAAATGCATTTGCACATCGACTGGATCAATGACTTTGGCATGGAGACTTCTCAACCCAAGCCTTCTCCTTGGGAGACCACAGAAAGGGTTCCTGAGTTGCAGGGATCTTCAAGCCAGGAGCCTTTTTGCTAATGCACAGTGACCCAGCTGCCGTGATCCTGACTCACCATGACGATGCGCTGCTAGAATCACCAGGGGTATTTTTAATCCCTCTTTTTTGTTTTGTTTTGCCAGCATGACTCAGTCTCCTTGATCAATATTACATGGCTACAAATGCAGGCCTAATTAAAGAAAATAGACCGGACATCGACAGATCCCCCCCCCACCTTCCCAAGCACGGACTTTTCCAGCGGGGGAGTTAGGCAAGCGACAGGGAGCGAGCTGCATCCTTTTATGAAGTGATGATCGAAAGGAAAAGAAAGTTTTGAACTGTCAGTTTTGAGGTTAGGGAAAAAAAGCTTGCTTGAATCAGGAGGCCAGGTGACCAGTTTGACTCGCTGGAGACACATCATTAGGGAACGCTCAGGGTCCTTTCAGAATAAATTTGCCTTAATTGCCCAGGGAGGATCAACTCAATATTTCTGTTGCGCGGGCAAAATGACCAAAATGGCCAGTATTCCCCACATGGGAACTGCATAATTGACTGCTTCTAAAATTGAAGGGAAACTACATGACAAAGGAAATCAGATTTTAACTGTCATGGCTTCCCCGCATAGACTCCTGAGTGGCTCCAGAGTTCCCTATGGAAAAGGAATGACTACTCAACTAGATTCGGGTGAGTCGCCGTGTTCATCCGATGCAATAAAACAAAGTTTGAGCCCAGTGGCACCTTTCAGACCAGCAAAGTTTAATTCTGGATAAAAGCTTTCCTGTACATGCACCCAAAAGCTTACACCCAGAATCAGACTCTTAAACTAGTTTGAATTTCTGGAGAAAATGCACTGTGAATGTTCGGAAGCAAAAGAGGTTTGGATGCCGCCTTTGCCATGGCTACCACTCGGCGTTTGTGTGCCAAAGTCCACTGCCCTGAGGGGGTCAAGTGCACTCTGAATGTGTACAGGTCAGGTGCATGCTGTGTGCGGGTCTTTCCCGCCTCCAGTTGTCCAAACTGGCCAGCGTGACTCCCTGCAGAAGCTGAGACAGGAGAAGAGCAATGGGATGGAGAGATGACCCATGTTACCTAGCGGGTTGGAGTAACGTGGACTCGCTCGTCCACGAATAGTAAATGCAGTCATGACTAGTGGGGCCTCTACACCTGCAGGCAATTACAGAACAAAAAAAATATATGTATCATTCGCCATTCACAGGGGGCCATGCATGCACGAGCACCGTTGCCCACACACGGAACACGGAGAGGGCGAGGAAAGTGGAGTCGATGCTCAGAAAGTACCTATCCATGAAACCAATGCAGTCCTCTAGGCTCGGGCCTAGGCACCTGCAGCAGATCCAGACGGAAGGAGGAGAAATCAGAGAGAGAGAGAGAGAGAGAGAGAGATGCGTTAGCCATTTTACATACAGTCAAATCCAGGAATCTCTTCATCCAGCGTGGGCCGAAACAGCCGATTTCAATTTGTAGTCACGCAGTTGTGCTGCAGCGTAAGCCACAGTTTGCAACTACTGGAGACGTACCATATAAACTGTGGAGACAAACTCAGTCAGATTACAGGCATATTGTTATCACTACTCACCTCAGCAGAGTTGACCGTGGCAGTGTAGAGATGACACAAGATGGCGGGTTTCACTCACTGGCAGATCTGGGGGACACACGCCTGCTGTTGTCTCAGAGGGGTTGCTCAATAAAACCAACCCATAAGGACAGTTTTGAGCCAATGAGGCAGACTGAGGATTGGAAGGCCAAAAAATGATGTCGCACGAGTGCCATTAGGCGCCACTGGACACATTTCACTTGCCCTGGGGAAGAGACTCGAGTCCCTTCATCAGGCAACCATTCTGAAGCTGTTGCCATCTTCTCACGCAGCATGAAGAGTTGCCTCCTCCTCCTCCTCAGGAGTCAGAAGTGTTCCTTCTGCCCAATACTCAACTCACCTGATCTTGCATTCGCCTCCTGAAAAAGAGACTGCTCTAATCCCCGGAAGTGAAAGACTGAAAATTGCAAGACAACCCCATAAAAGGAGAGTTAAATAGTGGTTTCGAGGCCTACAATACCCAGCACAAAAGGTCGCCCTAGGACCTGGTGCTGTTCAGTGGAGGTCAGACTGGCACCCGGCTCAAGCCGTTGACTCCTCCGGGAAGCTAATGAGGCCAAACTTCTGCGGGCTTCGAGATCTCAGATTTAAAGCCCGAATTTCAACAAGGCAATTCCTTAAAAAAGTCACTCCGAGCTCTTTTACACTCTCCATTATTAATTGCACACTGTGACTTTATTAAATGTAAAACCATTGTAAAAATCTTGCCTCTAGACAGCAATCTAGCTGGGAAAGGAGCTCTCCCGTTTCAGTGAACCTGGTGCTGGACTGGTTTCTTGTTCTTTCTACACTATGACTTAGTCCTGTTCTTTTTTCAGAAGAGAGTATTGTTTGTTTTTTAACAAATTCACTGGCAGGAAAACCTAGGCTTGGGTCCAGGGATTCCCTTCTGCTAAGGAAGACTCCTCACTTAGCAGAAGGGAGTTCTTGGATTCATCTCACTGGCTGCTGTGATTGTTGTAATATCCAGAAATAGGTAAATTGTATCACCCAGCTCGATAGAGAGCAAGGCTGGGGATTTAGACACTGTTCAGGGGCGTCTAACAGAGTCTTGTGCTATTTCGACTGTCCTGTATATCAAGGGCTGGCATGCCATCTATGATGGACCCCTGCTCCCGCTTCTTCTCTGTGAGGCAGATTTCCCCACCAAAACACAGTTCCCCACCCTGACGGAGCAGCCTCTTAGTAGCACATTTGAATGATAGAATTAATATAACTTTCTGTGTGTCCCACCCTGTGAAAGAGAAGCTATTTGGCTTTTGCCCAGGCCAGAGATTTATTGTAGAAAAGCAGGAGCCCTCTTATACATCTCTTTTCGAAATGGCCCTTGACACAAAGTAAAGTTCAAACAGAAAGGTTGGTTCTATTGAACAGGTGCGCTTGAGTTAGGAATAGGGCAGGGGACGGGAAGTCGAGGTAGATTTTGTTGTTCGTACAAATTAGAATATTTGGAACAGACAACAGAGTATGATTGAAGCTTATATTCTTAGAGACTCAGTTCTTGACTGAGAGGTTTGTTTGTCTTGGAGATTTCTTTTAGCGACAATGCATCTTAATAAGGCTTCATAAAACTATCTTATTTTGCTGTAAATTAGTACTTTCTTCCTATATTTAAATACTTCCCTTGAGGGACTACAACTTTCCCTTTTTACAAAGAAAAAGAAGAGGAGGAGGAGGAGGAGGAGATTGGATTTCTACCTGGACCTTCACTACCAGAAGGAGTCTCAGAGCGGCTTACAAACTCCTTTCCCTTCCCCTCCCCACAACAGACACCCTGTGAGGTAGGTGGGGGCTGAGAGAGCTCTGACAGAAACTGCTCTTTCTCAAGGACAGCTCTTATCAGAACTACGGCTTGCTCAAGGGCATTCAGCAGGCGCCAAGTGGAGGAGTGGGGAATCAAACCCGGTTCTCCCAGATTAGAGTCTGCACACTTAAGCACCACACCAGACTGGCTCTCTTAAGGCATTTAAGACCGTTCCCCTTTTCACACAAGCCAGAGGTCACTTCTGAGTTGAACTCTCTGAATAACTGGGTCAGAAATATCCTCCTCCTTCTAGGAGTGATAATCCTTTTTCTGTTTGGCTAGACGGGCAGCTTTCAACCTCCCGTTCAGTCTCTTCTGTCAAACCTAGACCCCAGTTCTGGAGACGGTGAATAAATGAAATTCCGCTAGGGCTGACACTAAGAACATAAAGTAAAGGTAAAGGTTCCCTTGCTCGAAAGCCAGTCGAGTCCGACTATAGGGTTGCAGTGCTCATCTCCGTTTCAAAGCCGAAGAGCCAGCGCTGTCCGAAGACTTCTCCGTGGTCATGTGGACAGCATGACTAGACACTGAGATGCACGGAACGCTGTTGCCTTCCCACCGAAGCGATACCTATTTATCAACTTGCAATTTCTTGCTTTCGAACTGCTAGGTTGGCAGGAGCTGGGGCCAGAGACGGGAGCTCACTCCATCACGTGGCACTCGGGTCTCGAACTGCTGAACTACCGACCTTCCACAGCCTGCAGCTCAGCGTCTTAACCACTTGAGCCACCGCAGCTCCAAGAACATAAGAGACTTAGGCTTTTAAGTTCTGATTCCTGAACTTTTCCCTCAAACGTGTTGGTACACAGTAAGGGCGAGGAGTTGTGTCCCTTCACTTCCCGAGTGACTTGTCTGTTTCCCTCAGACCGACACACACACACACTCCTCCTGACTGGCGACTGCCAAGCCAAAGTCCAGACGACATGGCTGAGCCCCTCTGACCAGACGGACAGGACTTTATACAACTCTCCTCAGTGGGCGTGGGCCAATCAGAGAGAAGGGTGCCTGTCAATCAAACAGTGCTTGACAGTGGGGCATTAACCCCTAATCTGCCCGCTCTCGGCTTTTGATGCGCTGAGCATCCTGCCTTTGGAGGTCAGTTCATCACACACCATCCAACCCCCGATCAACAGACTACATTTCATGCTGGCTTGGCATTCACAGCATCTCCTGGGAAACCACGCAGGTAATGATGGAGGACGCGCTTCTTCACTTTCCCTTCTGTAGCACATCAAAAGACCCCGGGCATGGAGCGGCCGTCTTGAGCTATAAGGGAGGCTTCCTTCCAATTAGATGCCCATTAGTCATTCTGAAAACTCACAGCCTTGCATGAAAAGGAACCCGTCGTCTTGGGCGTCTCTCTTAGGATGCTGAAGAACACGGCACAGTTGCACTGCTCTTTCGGGTCTCATTTGTTGCATCTGTCGAAAGCCCCTTTGGGCTTTAAAGGTACAGAATCCTTCTTCTGTTTAGGCACGGGCTTTCGTTGAAAAGGAACACAATGCTGAGCGTGAAGAATAAACAGACTGCCAGTCTTACTCCTGCTGAGTATCTTCAATGGAACCACTGATCTAAGGAGCGCACGGTGCCTTGGAAACCCTTCGTCACTGCTCTTTGGACATCCCCGCACACGCAAAAAAAAAAATTCCTTGAATCCTTTCATTTCTTTCAGTCCGGAAATGTGCATCCGTTGTAATATGCCTAGCAGGATTTCACAAGCCATCGCTACATATTTCATACCAACCTTTCTTACGCAGGGTTCAACCAGCCTTTCTTTCCGGGTTGGACTCCCGATGAGGTGTAGCTATAGAAGAGTTTTCAACATACGCAGGGCCAAACCAGGGCCAGAACATCAGTTGAGAAGACAGGAACACAAAGACATGAAGGGAGGGTGGAGGAAGCGAACACAGTGTTTGTTGAAAGAGGGGAACGTATTGGTACAACTGCACAAAACCTGAAGAGCCCGCTTTCTTTAAAAAGTATGCAGTAGCGACGGAATGAGGACAGAAGTTTCCCTCCGCCGGGACCATTACCTATTATTGACCACAGTCAGAAGCAGCTGAGGTAGACCTGAAAGCACAGTTCCTCTGGCAGATACACATCAAAGCACAGACTTCATTAGAGGACTGTATTGGGTTGGCGTGGCAATGCCGCGCGGCACTTTTTTCTCTGACAGGTATTTCAGCTCCTCTCCATTTCATTCCAGCAGTCAATCTACCACAGGGAATTAGAGACACGCTAGATGGAGAAGCGTGATGATTTCTCTCAGCCATTCCTGTTAGGGAATCCAAGAGTGAGACAGGCATTCTGTCCTTATCGCTACTCTTTTTTATTTTCGCTTGGAGAGTCAGGTACAGGGAAAGACCTCTCAGATGCTGATTTCTCTCAAGATAGCTGTGCAGTTGGAGGATTATGGATTGGAAAATGAGAGAGAGAGAAATACTAATTGATTCCATTTCTGTCTCCGCACATATCAAAGCGTGAAGCTGACGACGACAGCCAGGAGACGGACAAGGAGTCGGTCCCAGACATCTGGGGCACTCATTATGACCACTCGCAGCTTACCATAACTAGCAAGTGACAGAAGGACATTTCAATGGAGAAGATGTTTATAAAAACAATCAGGGAAAATACCACTGAGCGGGTGCCAGGATATTCCCCCCCCCCTTGAGCAGAAGGGTTATTAATAGGCATTTTCCCATTAAGCGCCTCTCTGTTCATCTATGTCTAAAATATTCTGACTGGTGGCAGAGAGAACATGTTTCACCTTTAATAAGACAAAGACCAGAATGTTATTTGCAATCATATTTGACTCAAGCAAAGCCAAACCATCTGTTCCTGGAGGCCATTTTGCCTCGAGTCAGGGGAGGTGGGTTAACTGAGAAAGCTGGTGACAGTTGGTGCTGTTATGTTTGCATTTCCCCC